ATTATTTGAACAAGCATCGGAAACCAGTCAATCAATGGAACTTACCAGGATTTATAATTCCACTCACGGTAAGTCGTTTAAATTAATACAAAGTTGTTGAAGAATCTGATTATTAATAATTTGTGGTTGTTTTTGCAGATGTTGTCGTTCGAATGTATTCTTAAACTTCGTTCTGGTGGATGGTATAACGTAGTGAGACCGGAAGGTAATGTGACAGAAACATGTCATCGGATGTGTAAGAGATGTTTCATCCCGAAAAAAAAATATGGTATCAAACAAGGATTAACAATGATCGGCAGGACACAGGTTTGTTTCTACTAAGGGTTATAAAGTGTTAGCAATGTTAAAAAGGTATAGGCTTTTAAACTCGAATTAAGTTTGAACAATTTCATTTTTCAGGATATTGTGAGCATTTTGTTCCCAGAACACGGTGAAACATCTTTGCTTGATGGTTTGGAAATCAAAGATAATTTTGATGAGGTGGTTGATAGTTGGATTGCTCATTTGATTGAGGATCCAAAATCTGTGAAATGGAAGGATATACTCGAGGCTGATGTGAAATCTCGAGTTGAAGTACCAATGATGCTTCAGCAAAAGAAGAGGAAACCACCTGCTTCACCTCGGAAGTGGGATAAAAAGAGAGAGAAAACTGATAAAGGGAAAAGACCAGTAACCGATAATGATGAAGAAGAAGAAGAAGAAGAAGAAGAAGAAGAAGAAGAAGAAGAAGAAGAAGAAGAAGAAGAAGAAGAAGAAGTCTGTAGTTGAGATTTGAACAAATTGAGGGCTGAAGTGAGACAAATGAAAGGAAAGATTCAGTTTTTGGGTCAAAAATTGGTTGAGACTGAAACCAACTTGCAGAAAGTGATTGAAGGCCAAGGTGAATATATGAAGAAATTGATTATTGCCGGTATGATCGCAGCAGGTAAGTATGACTCGCCCTTTGAAGCTTAAGCTAGAATGGACTTATTGATGAAGAAGATGAATGAGAACTTGTCCTTGATCTTCTTTTCTTTCGGCGTTTTTCTCCGGCACTTCTGATTCGACTCGTTATCGGTCGACCAACACCTCGTTGTCTTAAAATAGGAGGATCCACTTTCATCTCCGCTACATGCTCAGGGATATTCCAGTGAGAAATATCAGATACTGGATATATGATATCAACATACGCTCATTCCCATGTTGCCCTTATATAATATGGTGAACAATAGTCAAATAACTTGTCTTTTTCACCATGTTCATGCACAGCTTTTATTGCATGAGAACATGGATATTTATCAACATCCCACACTCTGCAATCGCAAGACTTCTTTTGTAGATCAACGAAATATGTTTTCCCACTATCATCAGTGACTTCGTATTCTTTCCAATTGCGATTTATCTCTCGAATAGTAAATACATTGGAAGTTCTATACCGCTTATGCAATTCCTTCTCCACATATGGTGTTAGTTGTTGTGTACTTGAAAATGCGCATGCCCTGCGTTTACACCACCATTCCACTGTTTTATCCACAATCACGTCAATCAAACCGAGCAAAGGTAACGTTCTCGCCTTCCTCAATACAGAATTGATTGTCTCCGCACCATTAGTTGTCAATAGGTTGTATCTTTCTCCCGGAAAATAACATCTTGCCCATTTAACAGGTTCAACACTCTTCTTCAAATATTCAGCAACTTTCGGAAACCTGTACATAAAAACATTCAAAAGCTGTTCAAAAATTTATATAAGTCGTAATCCAACAATATTTACATTGTAATCAAGTCGCACCTGTCACAGAATTCACCCCACAGAACTGTGAACTCTTTTTCTGTGTAACTCTCAGCACATTTATAGAAAATCCCAGCAACACTATCTCCATTTTTGTTCCTTTTACCTCGTACTCCTTTGTTCACTAGTGTCTTGATGTTTTGGGAGATGTGATATGCACAATATGCATGTTTAGCTCTTTTGTACACATCACGAACAACATTTGATATGCTTTGATGTCGATCGGAGATCACAACCATGTCATTGCTATCAGGAATCACTTCTACCAATTTTTTCATAAACCAATTCCATGAAACATCATTTTCTGTATCAACTATCCCCCAAGCTAGAGGATACAAATTTCGGTTACCGTCTTGGGCTGTGGCGACAATCAAGAATCCTTTATATGCTGTTTCAAGAGATGTCGCCTCTACGACAATCACTTTCCGCATTGCACACCACCCTTTGATACAAACACTCAAAGCAAAAAAAACATACTTAAAAGTTTTCCCGTCATCTTCCAATTGTATATCCGCTATCGTACCTTCATTTTTTTCCTTCAACATATGAAAATAACTCGGAAGCCTATTATAATTCTCCACCGGATTTCCCCAAACAATATTTTGAGCTTGTTGTCTCCCTCTCCATGCCGTAATATAAGACATCTTGCATTTATAAGCTTTACTTACCAAAGACATTATTCTTTTCACTCTTGGAAGATCAACTTGACTCGCATAATGCCTTTTCAGATACGCTACAACCATCTCTACACTTCCTACCTTTGTTTTCCTTTCTTTTTCTTCTGATTGTAGCACCGGTGAACATGTATGAATATTCACATGCTTCGTAACCATAAAATTCTCATATTTCTTTTTAACCACTGCTCGCACTTTCCACATACAACCTTTTCTTCGAAATCGACATCTTGCTTCCCATAAATGTGGTTCTGACTTATATACGTAGTATCCAAAGCATGCATCATGTGAAGCTTTCATTACCTTCATTTTTAAGTCATCCTTATTCACAAACTCTTTACCCACGGTAAAACCCAATCTATCTTCGAATGAGAAACCTTCGTTGCCTTTTGCATGCCTTTGACAATCATTCCCAGTCGTATCTTCAACTGCAATATCACCAGTTGCAATAATCAATTCATTACCAAACTGAGTCGTATCTTCAACTGCAATATCACCAGTCGTAACAATCACTGCTTCACCTAACTCAGTCGTAATATCCTCAATCGTAACAATCACTTCACTCTCATGTCGTATATCTTCATGCAAAGTCTCATGCTCAACCCCATACGAACCATAAGTCCATTCAACAAGATTTTGTTCCCTTTCTTCTTCTCTCAACATAGAATCAACAACTAAACACCTACCATTAATAACCCCTTTTCCTTTTTCACCATGAAAATCAACTCCTACCTCAACTTCACCTACACAAGTATGAGATTCAAGATTTGCATCAAGATCCTTCCACTCAACATATAACTATCCTCGTCTCCCATTGATTTTGCTAAACATAAAAGATTTAACCCCCATATCATCGACTATATATTCTAGTCGATTACCGTCCATAACTATTGGTATGAAACTTAATTTGGCTCTTCTGAGCCAACATTTAGCTGACAACAGACACTTCCACTTCACTTGCTTTGTTACAAATGCATATTGTCTTGGTTTTATCTTCATCTCTTTTCCATTCATACAATCCATCTTCATTTCTTTCCCAAATACCATCATACCTTACACACACACATATATACAAATCTTCAATACCATCCATTTTTCTGTAAAAACCAACATTATTCATCATCTCCTAAACCCAAAATCAGTTTTCGGATTTCATACCCTACACCCATATCAAAGCATATAATTTTAAAAATAGAATGATAATAGACGAAATTGATTAGGATTTATAGCTATGGTACCTTATAAGTAGATTTTTCCATCAATCGTCCAAAAAAAAACGACGCAAAAATCGCTCCAAAAGCTCAAAAATCTGTAACAATGGAGGTGCCCTAAAGGGAACGATATAACAGGAAGCGAAGGGGAGAGATGACGGACGAGAGTTTCGGGGCAAAAGTACTTTTTCAAATAAAAAGTCCACGTGTGTTTAATTTCACTTTTGAGTGTATTTTTGACTTTTTCAAAACAGGGATATTTAAGTAATTTTGGTAAAATAATGGTGTACAATTTGTTAAAATTTTCCGTCCTTGTTTTGCTGGTGTACGCCTGAAATTCGTGCGACGCAGGTCGTGCATTTTAGAAAATTTGCCCTCTCTCACACAACTATAAATGAGTTGTATCATAAAAAACAAGAACAAAAAACATAAAACGATGTCGTATCATACTGCGTCTCTGGACATTTTACTCAAATGAGCCATCTGGGTCGCAGCAATTTCATGCGTACACCTAAAAAACAAAAAAAAAATTTAACTTTTACACTATTTTTCGGTTGAAAAAGTCCGAAATATCTTTTTTTTTTTCATTTATTTGCGATCTTATTACGACTAACATATAAATAAGTAGTAGTTATGATCGTATGAAGATGAAAGTGTAAAAAAAATATAGTTTTTTTTTTAATTCGACAGATGAATTTTTTGTCACCTTGTTTAGAATCAATTGTAACTGTATTTAGAATTAATTATGAAGTCGTAATAACAAACTTGTTTTCGAGCAGACAAATATCACGTATTCATTAAGGATAATTCAGTCTTTTGAAAAAAATTTAATACGTTATGTTTTCGGTGGTGTACCCGTGAAATTGCTGCGACCCAATTGGCTCATTTGAGTAAAATGCCCGGGTCTCTGACCGTCTTCCTCCCCGGAGCGATTTCTGTTTTCTGGAATGGCCCCCTTCCTGTGCTACAGTTATCAGTTCAAGCTTTTGGTCTCGTCATTGCTAAACAAGATTGGATCCGAGGAACAAATGAAAACAGAGACTGATGAATCTGGGGGATTGTTTTCCGCATTAAAGATGGTGGATTTACAATGATGAAGAAATTCCACACGTGGTGCAATTTCATGGGTTTGGTACCACATCGGAGGATCAGCTGTAAGAAATGGTGAAACTTGCGTGAGGTAAGGTTGAAAGGCAATATCGAATCAGAAGCTAAAGCCCCACCTCCCATTCCTGTCCAGGCCGTACATATATCCTGGTGCTGCCTCTGTTCTTCCCGATGATGATGATGATGATGATGGCGGCATGTTCATGAAGCTCCATTGATGTTAGGAGACAACATAGATAATACATACAATAAAAATCTGAATTCCATTCTCTCACACTGATAAGCTGATCAGCAATGTTGGGTACAAAACAAACAAATCAAACAAGAAAAAATTCCAACCAGATCAAACTGCGGGTTGGGGGATCAGACAAAAGTGGAAAGAGAACAGATTGCTGCCTAAAACTATGCAGCAAAACATGATCATCAGTGGAGGAAGAAGAAGAAGAAGCCAAACTTGCACCGTTTTTCAACAATGGTGCTCCAGCCACACGCAAATGCTGAATCGTAAGAAGAAGAAGAAAAATTTCAGTTGGTTAACAACATAACGCGTTCGCTCCATCAGTCATCCGGTCCGACCAAAGTGACCTGCATGATTTAATCAAAGCATTACACAACACATATTCTGATATTCACTGTCTCAAAGTGAAAACTTTATCCCATCCAAACCAAAGGGCCAAAACCATGGGACACTGTCTGAATATATCATGTTGAAAGCATTTCCAAGGCATACAAGTGATGGATGGATTTCGGGTTAGTTGCTTACGTTGCAGTCAAAGGCGTATTTCCGGGCGAGTACAATGGCCGCATTACGATCTTTCTCTGACTCGAACGTTAGCACGAAGGTTAGACCCTTCCTGGGCTGCCAGAACAATGCCTTGGCAGGAGCATTAGCCTTTCCTCTCACCCCGCAGAGCTAAGTATGCAGAAAAAACCGATAACCGATATGAAAATTCGCGATAAAATATCCATTCATTCAGATCAAGAAAAGAACGTTCTACGAATAAAGCCTCGGTTTCAGATACCTGCATGAAGGTGGAATATATTTCTCTGGATTTGGTGATCCATCCCCTACACAGCTTTATCCTCATCTTTCCAATGCTAAGTACATGATTGGATCTTGAGGCATGATCTTGGCCATTCATCTGCGAAATAACCACCTGAGGAAGAGACGAACATATACAAATTTGCTTTTTTTTGTTAAATCAAGACAAGGTTTATGCAAAAAACGATCAAGGGAAAATCAAGGATTCTCGGATAAAGTTGTTACGTTGAATTCGCTGTGAGATTTACGCATGAGAGACTCGACGTGGGATTGCAATCCGGCGGCTGTTGTAAATATGTAAAGCAATCTCCGAGTAATCAGCTTCCATCGTGCGCATTCAACAAAGATTTCACAAAGGGGACCAATGAAATAATATCCGTAAAAACTAACCGGGATCGATTGGACTGTCGGTCGTTAAGGTAACTTTCTGCCCATTAAAACAGACGTCTGCCTGCAGAACTCGCCCGACATCAAATGGTTCCGGAGCATATACCGTTCGGTTGGCACCTGAGATGTAAATACAAACCATCCAAGGTAAAAGTTCATAAATTTGGAATCCATAAATCTCAAATCTATAACACCTGAACCACATCACAGCTGAAAAGGTTACGACTTTCATTACCGAAACACATCATTTGCATCAAAACAGATTCCATTACATAACATGCGGTCCGGGAGATTTTATATTTTCGCAGCCATTGCTATGCGATAAGACATGTAAAACCAAATGACAGAGGCAGTAGATAATGCCAAAACTACCAGATATAGCTTCTCTTCTACTAGTCTCCGATGCAGCACGGTACCACTGGACTGAACATTCGGAAATATTTGGAGCGTTATCTGAGCAAGAACGAATTCTCAAGAACGACCCAAGACTTTGTTTGCCATCTAGAGCATACAGATGGGACTTGGACTCGTCGGTCCTCTTGACTATCGCAATCTACAGAAATTTGTGATTTAATAGCAAAGGCATTCGTCATTAGAGGAAGAACAAAGAAGAAAATACGTCGTAAAAAAACTTGTACCTCCTTCTGAAGCTTAACCGAGTTTACGGACTTCTCTCGGATTTGATTTCTCAAAGCACGAAGCTCATGTTGCATATCCATCACCTGTATTTACAATTCAATACTTCATAACATTTATGGTTTTACACATTAAACATCGGATCAAGAAAGGGTTTCGAACAAATAGGCATTTGGTGCACCTTGGTCGGTTGATGCATCCTTTTGATCCGTCTGGCCTCCTGAACCTCCTCTACTAGTTTCTCCACATCCTGTGAGACAAAATCATAAGATCAGAATATTAATGTTTCTAATGTCTAAATATAGAACTATGACGAGGAAGAAACGAGCAGATTCTTACAGGCCCCTGAGTTTTAGAAGCTTCAGAACTCCGCTCCTGTTCCGTAAAGGCATCTCCAAGCCTGTGAACAACAGCCCGAGCACTTTCAATCTCGGCACAAGCAAATGACTTTTCCTGGTTTACCAGTTTCTTTGCATCTTCTGAAGCCTGAAAACATGACAACAACATAAATCAGATGTATAATCTTAGCAAAGATTGTAATGAGACTAATGAGGGTGTTAAATACGAAAAAAGGAAAAGGCAGGCGCTTTGGTAAAAGACCTGCTTGAGGAAGTTTGCTAGCTTTTTCACTTGGAATTTTTCTTGTAGCAGTTCACCTTCGTTCTGAGTTAACTTGACGGCTAGAGCCTCAACCTACAAAGACAAAGGCTTTCTCATTTCTATTCATACGGTCATACACTTGATCCAGAAAGAGATGAACCGAAAACATGTGGTGCATATTGTGAAAACCGTGTGGTTTTCGCAATTATGCCTCTCGAGAACGAAGAGACGGATGTCTATTTTGACTGAAGACACTATTGCAGAACAGATAACGGTTGAATTTGTGTGGAAAAAGGTAACCATGGAGATAGCTTTCTCGACATCTTCCTTGTTTTGTCCGGCCATGCAGCCTCTCAGAGATTCTAAAGCATCCCTTAGTTTCTTCAACATGACATGTCCCTCCAAAGAAGCCACCTCTCTCAGCTTTGCCTGAAATCACAGGAAGATCAAACAAGAAAGAAAAGAATCAACCTTTGAATCGAAACGATCGGGCAAACAAGGTCTGGGATAGAAGATTTTCCATTGAGACATGCTGATAGTTCAGTCCATGAGATGCTCCATTTGGCACAGAGACATGTACTTCAATCAAGCGTGGAAACTAGAAACCTGAATGAAAATGTAAAGTGGAGAACGTTTTTGGAACCTCATCGGTCAAATTCGCAGCAGCGGTCAAGTTCTTGTCAAATTTACTAGCGAGATCACGAACAGAAAGGCGCTTGTGCTGCTCAGATAGTTGCTCGGTCTCCTTCTCAACGATTTCTTTCACGGAAGGACCCTTTTCATCTTCCTTTGGTTCTTCCACGATCTGATTGTCAGGTCCAAACTTGTACTTTGGAAAATGGTTAGATGCAAAACTAACATCCGCTGATACCGGAAGAACTGCTTCAGACAGCGTCATCTCAGGACACACTTTCGTCATCTTCAGAGATTTGTCCGCTTACCTACCAAGCAAGAACTATTACTCCGGTGAGACAACAAAACCCACAAGCCAGGTTACATGGAAACCTTCTCACTAAGCTGCCTATGAAATTATCACTACTGCGTAGGCCAAATCGCCAAAGAAAATGCGCATAAGAACCATATGAACATGTGACAAATCGAATAGTACCACCAGGCAAAAATTAAGAGAAATGACGAAAAACGAATCAACGAATCAAAGAGAGAAACACAGACAACCCATATCAGATTCAAGTGCAAAGCATCTAACATCATTCGAGAAACACGATACGATGAAGCTCGTCAGAATGCAAGTACAACGGACTCCAAAGCGATTAAAAGGACATTGCCAAAGAGGAAGAAGAAGAAGAAGAAGAAAAAGAAAAGGTCTCTAGATTTCGTCGTTGTGGTATCTTTTCGTTGTTAGCTTTTAGAAAAACGTAAATACAGAAGAAATGGAAATGCAGAGAGTATCCGAAAACAAAAAATATAATACCTTTCTCTCTCTGATTCCTCGGTCTCTCGTCCCAAAAACAGCTCGCTTGACTGGTTTTGATCTCTCTCTCTCTCTCTCTCTCTCTCTCTCTCTCTCTCTCTCTCTCTCTCTCTCTCTCTCTGTTCTGTCTCTCTCTCAGGCCATCGTCGTTAGAGCGGCTCTAGAGAGAGAGCGCAAAGAGCTCGTTTGACAGTGCCCGGTCCTCTCGCTCCTACTTGACGAAAGCGACGACGCGCCGATGCATAGCGTTTGAAGTCAACGCGCCAGCCTCTGCATGCTTCGTGGGCCCCTCGCTCTCCCGTGGATTTATCCCCCCCCCCCTTTTAATTTCTTTGACGTTTCCTTCGTCCTTTTTAGTTCTCCTTTGGTTGGTTGTAATTATGTTGATTTAACCACTAATTAATACGTATACTTATTTTATTTGAAACCCTAAGCAAAGAATTTGATCTTTATCTCAAAGCCCAATTATTTTAATTCTTATATCTATATATATATTTTTTTTTACTTTTTCAGTGTAATGGTTTTCTATATATATAATTTTTTTTATTTTTTTATGCAAAAAAAATTATTTACACTCTTTGGACTTATCTAATATTACGTATTTATTCATATGCACAATCTTTCATTCCATTCAATTATATATCCAACTATTAGTCAAGAAGGTCGTAATGAAGCATCCTATTTTAGTCTTAATATTTCTCATTTTTATATAAATTTGAAGTTTTTTAAACTATTTTTCTATAATTTGTAATATAATATTTTGCATGATGTAAATTATAACTTTTTTTTTGTTCCTAGACTATGCGGTCTCTGAAACCAAATTGAATTTTCTAATTTCTTAAAAACCGTAGATATTTCAGGAACAATTACAATTAGACCATAATATTTGAAATGGATAATTTGACTTAAAATGCGTAAGCAAACGGTTGATGAGATAACCCAAAAAATCATTATTTGAATTTTTAAATATTTTTTTTAACTAAGAGAATTTATGCATAATTAAAAAATATACAAGCTTTAATTATATATTCGGTTGTCTGAACCACCAATACCTAAATTGATTTCAATATGCTTCGTCTCTTGTGGTTGGTAAATGTAGACAAATTCGCTACTTCTCATCCGTTATCTAGCGATCCAAATGCATAGCATATTATATATATATAATTACAGCCAATCGTACAGGAATTAAATTAATTTAATTTTGTATTGGTTCTCATATATAAATAAATATCATCATTCCTACACGTGATGGGTACACGATACAACTTGGTAGCTTCATAGAGGGAGACTTTTATTGATGTAGCTTGAAAAGAATAATTTTGGTAAAAAGATAGTTGAAACTCACCGAACATTCATATTATATATATATATATATATATATATATATATATGTGTGTATATA